CTTCTGCTTATCCTTAACAATTGAACTGTTTTTTAAATGAATACTCTGGGGGCGCCTGGGTGGCGCAGTCGGTTAAGCGTCTGACTTCAGCCAGGTCACGATCTCACGGTCCGTGAGTTCGAGCCCCGCGTCAGGCTCTGGGCTGATGGCTCAGAGCCTGGAGCCTGTTTCCGATTCTGTGTCTCCCTCTCTCTCTGCCCTTTGCCCGTTCATGCTCTGTCTCTCTCTGTCCCAAAAATAAATAAACGTTGAAAAAAAAATTTTTTTTAAAAAATAAATGAATACTCTGAATCCCAAAATGATCACATTTCCACAATGCCTGACTACTAGGAATTCCAGAACCTAATCTGTATCTATATTTAACAAATGTACAAGGCCATGTAATATGAATTTCTATTCTAATCAAATGCTTCATCTTCTTACATTATCCTTATATTCCTATAGCCTTAATTTTTATGTTTAGTTTTCTTTTAACACTATGGCATTATACAAATTATCTCAAATCCTTTTTAGATTGAAGCGGGGTCTAAAAATGACAAAGTAACAGTCTCTTTCACTAATTTCACCCTTTACCTATTCCTTGGATGACTGTATACTCTAGCTTTCTTTCCTTTTTGCTCTATTCATTTCCATGGACAATCTTACCTATTTCCATGATTTCAAATGCCAACAAAGTCCAAATCTATTACTTTAGTTGTTATCTTAAGACCTATCTTTGAATATAAAGGGTATTGCAGTTCTATATTTAGTATGTTTTTAATTAAAATATAAAAATTGGAGTGATGTCAGCAAGAGGACAGAATAAAACATCCCTCATGTGTATTGCCCCCTCAAAAATAATAATTACCATATATCCATGGACAAAAGTGCATTTGTGAGAGCTTTGTGATCCAGGTAGGAGACTGTGAAACCCTGGTGTAGTCCAAGACTAAGAAGAGCTATTTTGAGAAGGCAGGCTCACATCCTGGTGGTTAACTCACTCTGGTCCTGACTACAGACCCAGAAATAGTTCTGTACTCCTGAGACCTCAGCTACAGCCCATTTGGCCTTGGGTCTGTTACCAGCACTATACACCAAAGGACTCAGGAGTCATGCCCTGTGTCAGGAAATAAGCATACATCCCCTGGTCCCAGCTGTGGACCCTGCAGTGGCCCATGAACCAGCTCTAGTCCCTATAGTCGCAGTCTGGGAGCCCCTGGAGGCAAGCTTGCCACACTCATTCAGACTATAGATTCTGGAAGGGCCCCATTAACTGGGCTCAAGCCCATCCCAGCCACAGTCATCAAAGAGTCCTGCTGGCACAGGGATCCAGCAGGAGACACTCCTGTCTGTGCCCCTAAAGATCCTGATACTTGATGGGCCTTATGCTTGGTTCCAACCCCCTCACAGCTACAGTTTATCAGCAGTACTAAGGGTCTAGTTCCCAGTGGGAGACACTCCTGTCTGCACCCAAGGAGATCCTCAAGAGCCATATACTTAGTTCTAGGTCTCTCACAGCCAAAGGCCACCAGCAGACCTGCTAGCCCTGGAGCCCCCCAAACAGGTACTCCTATATGTATCCCTAGAAATTCTAAAAGGGCCCTATACTTGGCTCCAGCCCCTCCTGCTACAGTCAGGGAGTGGTCCAGCTCACCCAGGGACCTGGTGGAAGACAAGCCCTTCTGTCCCTTCATAGCCAGGACTACAGACCTCAATCTTGATTGTGGAAACTGAAACCTCACTAAGGCTCAGTTCCAGTCCCTTCTGGCTACTAAAGTTTAGGGCCAGTCATGACTACCCACAGATCTATCCAGTGACTAGCCAGGAGGCCTCCCAGGGACCTATTGGGAGTCATACCAGTCCACACACTTGGTAACAGAAAACAGAAATACCATATGATCCAGTAATTCCACTACTGGGTATTTAGCCCCCAAAAACAAAAATACTAATTCAAAATTATATATGAACCCCTATGTTTATAGCTGAATTATTTACAATAACCAAATATG